ACTGAGAGCATTCTTGTACTCAGAGGGATTCACAGAAAAGATGGCACCAATGGAGGCTTTTCTCTCATACATGGCGGAGAATGTTGGAAAAGACATGGCTAGTAGGAAAGAGCTAAACTTTAAACCTTCCCTAGTTGGACTTGGTGCTCCCAAGCCAGTTTGGGGCCCCAAGCAATGCTTTTAGAGCAAGAAAGGGAAGTTCAGCTGCATGGCATGTACTTGGCATCCTTAATTTGACTCCAAGGATCCAATAATGTGTAATAAAGGTGAAATATGGGAGAGTCACTGGGAGACCCAGTGTGGTGTAGTGGTTAAGAGCATGGAACTGGGACTCAGACGATCTGGGTTCTAGTCCCCTCTCAGCCATGGAGCCAACTGGGTGACTTTGGACTAGTCACAGACTCTCAGCCCAACCTACCTCACAGGGTTGTTGTTGTGAGGATAAGATGGAGGAGGGGAATGATGTAAGCTGCCTTGAGCCCTTTGTAGGAAAAAGGCAGGATATAAATCAATCAATCAATCCATCAATATAACCTTAATCCATATTTAACTAATTTATGCAGATTGATTTTCATAATCTTCTCACTGCCCCAGAGTGCATTAAAATGGGGCAAAGAAGTAGATTAAGTCGCAATCTGATTGACTGGGCTCTTGCTGCCTGGAAGCCCCCTAAATACAGATGCTTCCAAGTTTTTAATGCCCTAAAAGTTGGCAATGTGAAAGGAAGTGCAGAAACAGTCTTTGCCTCCCAGGCTTGGAGATGCCTCTTCAGTCTGTCTCACCAGGTGTTTTGGGGAGACAGAGTGTGTGTGTGTGTGGGGGGGGGGATCAGAATAACGCTCATCCTCCCCTGCTCCAGAATGCCTCTATCCTGAAGCTCCAAGGTTAGACACCCTCCCATGGATCATTGGGTTTTTCTAAGGTGCTTTATGACTTTATATCAGTTTAAACCACAGCATTTAAAGAACACAATGTGCAGATGGGGAGAAATCTAATATTAGGGGTTTGAGCCTGCAGGGAGCATCTCTGAGGTATGGCATCACCCACGGCAGGCACCACTGCTGTGCAACTTTCATTCATTGGAAGGCTGGTCAGATTTTACCAAAACCAACTGGCATTGCATGGCAGAATGGCTAGAAAATGATGCCATGTCAACCTACTGTGGAGGTGGTGACTCCCCTGAGGCAGGGCCAATCTGTCTATGAGGTGGGGTAAATCCCTGCAAATCCTGAGGGGTGGCACTTGCCAGCCTTGGGAGAACTGCACGTCCCATCCTGCCCCCTGGAAAGTTAGGTTGGCTGCTCAGATGCTGAAGGAAACGTGCCTGGCGCAGCTTTCCAGAGTGCCACCCACCCAGTGCTTCGCTTTAAAGTTCCTCTAAGTGTGGCACTGGGGATGTCGACTCTTTGGGAAGCGTTGGGGTCACTCAGAAAACAGCCAACTTAGCTCTCCAGACAACCTGCCCCAAATGCCTTCTGATTTGGGGTCCTTCTCAGCGAAGCATTAGTGGGGAGGCAGCCCTGAAAAGTACCCTTGCTATGGGAGCACAGGCAATGCCTAGGGCCAACTCTCTGTCAGTGCTTCACTCTAAGGAAGGGGGTGAAGGCACGGAGGGAAGAGAGAGACCTGCTGTTGGGAAGAGGAGGAGTAAAATGGCAGTGAACACCATCAGAGAAAGTAGGAAGACTGAAGGAGGGGAGGGGGAGGGGGCTGTCATAACCAAGCAGGAGAGCAGAGAAGTCAGCGGTGAAAGGGGACAGGAAGAGGGGTGTGGGTGGGTGGGTTCCTCACCATTGCAGCCCTTGCCAATGGCGGAGGAGGATGGTTGGTGGGAGCCATGGCCTCTGGAACCATCATGGTCGTGATGGAGGCCGGTGTGGGGCCACCATCACCTCCACTGCCATTGCTGTGGCTGCAGGAAGGCAGGTGGCGGCAGTCACTGTTCTCCTTGCCATGGGAGAGCGAGGGTGGACAGATGCCACTGGGGGGCAGAGAAGTGGGTGTTGTGCAGCATGGTGGTGTTGTGCTGATCAAATCGGAAAGACGTTAACTTTTTGTCTCGGCACTCAGCACCAAGTACATCAAAATGCAAACCGTTTTGACAAGCAGCATCAAAAGCCCATCTCTCCAGTATTTTGTTCCCTCCGTGGCCAGCCAGGTGCCTCTGGGAAATGCAAAAGAAGAGGGGCCGGGTGTCCCCCCCTCCCCCAAAAGGAATGCATGAAGCACTCTTGAAGTCATTGAACCATGTCTGCCACAGAGGGATCAGTGTCTTCTCCCCCTTTCCATGGCAGAACATCTGCAGAACATCTCATTGTCCTAGACACTCCTGTGCAAACAAGGGCTATTATGAGGTCACGCTCACCACCGATCTTATCATGATTAGCTAAGATTCAGTGGTTCAAGGGAGAATGTTCTGAGACTTGCTTTATAAATTCTTTTTGCTGCTATTGTTGTGTTCTGTTTTACTCCTTAACTAATGTGCTTTTACTAATAAATCTCTTTCCTTAATTAAAAAAAAAAAGGAAATGCAAAAGAAGGCAAAGAGGACCGTTGATGAATTCTGGCAGGCAAAGGCATCCCTGCCCCCGAATACTGGAAGAATATACAGCTGCCAGGACTATGGCCATGTTCCTTCCTTGCCCTAGCAGGCCAATACTAAAGCCCAATTAAAATGCAGATTAACAAAGCCACCAAAGCCACAGCACTTGCCTGTGTGATCACTCCATGCAGGTAGCTTCATGTGCATTTCCACTTTCTCGCCATGAGCTTCGGTTCATGGGACTCCGAGTGGATGCTGTGCTGGCAGGCAACTGCAGCACCCGCATGGTCCAGCCACACAGTGAGCCCTTTGAAACTCGAGACCCGTCACATGGCATGTCCACACAGGTGTATAGCCTGCGGCCACTTCTCTCTGTAGGAGGCCCTCAGGCTTCTGAGCAGAAATCACAAGACGTTCATATGGGATCTTCATTGGCCTTGCAGCGGTGCTCCACTTTAATTGCATCGGCACTGTTATGAACCTGGGAAACTGGAGCCGAGGAACCAGCAGAGGGAGCACAGGATTGTGGTTTTCATCTGCCTCCTGATGCAAATGCGGGCAGTCTACTGGGCTTTTTGCATGTGCGTGACACGGAATGATTTGTTTGCAGTTTGCCTCCACAACTCCTCTACTCCAAAAACTGTTCAGCTGCTTAAGGGAAAACGTTTTCTCACATAATCAGTTGCTGCCAAGAGTTGCCTTCCTCCTTCCTCCTGTCCCACCAAACAGGGCTGATCTTAGAGGTTGGCAGAAATCAGGCACTTGATTTGGCCCAGTCTTGTTCAAGACACACTACTGGGGTTGAGGTGGCATGTGAAACCTACTTTGAACCCCCATCTCACCTGTAGGGACTCCAGGCAATGCTGAAAGCATCCCTCTAACCTACACAGATCTATTGCCAGTTTTATATCCAGGGTGCAATTTAAGTACTGCAGCACAATTTCTATTTGTATCAATGGGAGAATGTATGTTAGGAGGGCCAATCTCTCCCCCCCCACCACCACAAACACACCTGAATGGCATTCGTGCTGCAGCCATATTTGGTGCCCCAGCTCTGTAATGTGTTCCTCTAACATTTGTGGATTTATGCACTAAACACCAGAGAATCATGCACCACTAATGGTATTTTAAGAAATACCAGTGCTCAAATCATTACCAGGATGGGTGGGCAGTCAGAGGGTCCCTGGTCCCCCTGCCTTTGGTAACAGCCCCCTTAGCTATAGCTCTTAGAAAGCAACAGAAGACTTGTTTGCCCAAAACTGGGGAGTGCTTAGTGATTTTGATAAGGAGCCTGCCAACTTTTTCTTCCATAATTTGGAAAACTTGGTAGCATATTTATAAACATGACTACAAGATACAATTCTGAATTCTGATTTGGAACAAGCATCTGAGGGAGTACATTCACATTTAAGGGAGCGGGACTGTTCTAAAGAAAGTGGCACTAGTGATAGAAACAAGAAAGGGCTAAGGGATGCAGGTGGCGCAGTGGTTTAAACCGCTGTGCTGCTGGGCTGGTTGATCGAAAGTTCGCTGGTTTGAATCTGCACAACGGGGTGAGTTCCCGTTGCTCCGTCCCAGCTCCTGCCAACCTTGCAGTTCGAAAGCATGCAAATGCAAGAAGATAAAAAGGTACCACTTCAGTGGGCAGGTAACAGCGTTCCGTGCACTTTGGTGTTTAGTCATGCTGGCCACATGACCACGGAGACTGTCTGCGGACAAACGCTGGCTCCCTCAGCTAGGAAACGGAGATGAGCACTGCCCCCTAGAGTCAGGCATGACTGGACTTAATGTCAAGGGGAAACCTTTACGTT